TAGAGAGGTTGAGGCGCACGTTTTAAACGTGTAAACGTGTACGTGTGACGTTCGGCGCCGTTTTCCCGTAAGCCTAAAAGTTTGACGATGGTGTTTGGAATGTCGAGCGTGATTCCACCGACTATCCAAACATCATTGCCAAACATTTAGGCTTACGGGAAAGCGGCGCCGAACGTCACACGTACACGTTTACACGTTTAAAACGTGTGCCTCAACCTCTCTATTATTTCTTTCACTTTATTTAAGTAGTAGTTTCTTTCTTTCTTTCTTTTTTGTTTGAAACAGGTGAATATAATCATGTCTTCCTAGAAATTTGTCTCCTCAAAAGTAAATTTATTTATTTTAACTGGATTATAGGGTGTTAGTTTGTACTTTTATTGTAATCTCATCCAGTTTTGCAGTATCTTTCAAACTTACTTGAAAAATGATATGAAAAATGTATAGCTTCATAACAGTTAAACTAGTTGGAGAAATTATTACAGTTTTAATTATATGAATAAGAAATCTCTTAACATTAATCCTTGAATTAAAATATTAGCACAATGTTGTCTAAATGTAATAAAAAATGTATTCTCAGACTTATTACGTCCAAAGCCATTGAGAGAGAAAAGCTGGGGATTTTTCTCTAAGCCTGGAGAAATCTTGGGACCTTAGTAGTACCCATACAAATTAATGCAATTTTTATTAACAAAAAATAAAATCATTAAGAGTGCATTTTATTAATAAAGAAACATTTTATGTATTTTCATTTAAAAAAAAAAAAAAGTTAAAAGGGTGACTTACTTTACTCCTCAGGACCCATATAAGCATTTAATGGCTATAGTTACTTATATATTTTCTTGTAAATTCCTTTCAATAAATTAAAAGTGGCTGTTTTCATAGTGTGTGCTTTTAAACTAATATGAACAATTAAATTTCAAGAGACAAGACAAANGGTGACTTACTTTACTCCTCAGGACCCATATAAGCATTTAATGGCTATAGTTACTTATATATTTTCTTGTAAATTCCTTTCAATAAATTAAAAGTGGCTGTTTTCATAGTGTGTGCTTTTAAACTAATATGAACAATTAAATTTCAAGAGACAAGACAAATTACTGTATCTCTTGGCATTTTTATAAATTATAATGATACAGGAAACACTATATTAACTCTTAACAATATATTTAATATAGTACATAACTAAACTTTCTATTACCCAAGGCAAACTAAGACCTTGATCTTTCTATTCTAGAGGTTTTTTTATGTACACTCCTCAAAAGTAAAATCATAACACCATAAAGGAATGTATGTAGCGACTTGCACATTGCAGGACCAGTAAAGGTGACAGAGATATGCAAATAATTAAAAGAACATGAAGATATGCAACAGACACCTGTTTATTCAGTAACAAATATGGCCCCATGGGCAGCTATACAGGCCATTTTACAAGACATACTATCAATGAGGTGATTAATGATTGCCTGAGGTATCCCTTGCCAAGCTGCTTACACTGCAGCATGCATGTCATCCATAGTATGTGGCGATGGTCCCAGGTGCACCTCACATAGGATGAGATCCCACAAATATTTGATGGGAGAGCAATCTGGCAAGACTGCCAGCCAGGGAATGATGTGAATTCCATTCAGTCTGGTGAGAGTTTACTGTGCAACGTGCTATCAGGCACTGTCTTGCCGGAGCACTGAGTCAGGTGCAACCTGCACCAATGGGCCCCACAATTTGTGTAACATATTGGTCCACTATCAGAGTATCAGAAATGTGCACCAGTGTGACACTTGGCAAAAAGGGCTAGCACATAGCATTCCCTGAGATACTGTCACATCCATCCAAGGCCATCATTCCCCCATAGACAGAAGCAGGATTCATCTATAAACAATACCTGATGCCATTTAATGGTCCAACTGCAATTATCACAACACCAAGCCAGGTGTGCAGCCCTATATTAAGCAGTTAGTGGAACCCCAATTGCTGGTTGACATGTGTGCATCCTAACTTCATGAAACCTGTTGCAAATGGTTTGGATGGACACAGATGAACCATTGATGGCAACAAGCAGCTTTGGATGACATGTGTCATGATGAACAAGTCCCAATAGGCCACTCAGCAAATCTGCCAGTCTGTGTGCACTATCAAGCACTAGTGAGATCCACTCCCTCTTTGGTGTGTTCGTAGATGTTCCTGCATCCATTGTGTCACACATTGCTGGATTATACTCATGTCATGCCCAACATGCCTGGCAACTGCATACATCAATAAACCAAGGTCAAGTAGCTCCAGGATACAGTCTTGTTAACTGGTAGTACTCAACTCACTATCGTCTCTGAGGCATTTTCTACACTTCTTCGAAAGTTTGACTGCCACAAACCATTGCTGATAGCATTTGCAGTCTGAGCCAGCTGCTGGTTTTTATAGCCAAAAACTGAGTACAATATTACCCAATGCATACACAAACTTAATGATTTGCATATCTCTGTCACCTCTACCGGTCTGCAATTTGCAGTGCCTTCATTTTTGAGAAGTATATACAACATGTAATGAGTCAGTCTGTGCTATTTCTATTCTGCCACTAATTTACCTGGCACCAATAAATTATTCTTTATAATTGATTTTTCAAATGCCATATTTCAAAACATATAAGATGCAATTTTTGTCCAAAAAAAAATCATCCTGTATCTTATACATGGAGTTATAATTTCCTATAAGCTTCTCTAAACAACCTTCAGTAGGCTACAGAGTAACTACTACCTAGCCTAACTCTTGAATAAAAATAATATACTGCATGTATGTTCAATTAAGCAATACAGTAACATTTTTATTATTATTTTCACTACTGCTACTAATTTTAATTATTTAAATTGTAAATATTAATTAAATGAGACAATTATCAATTGTTAAATTTTAGGCGACCGTGTAGCCTAAAAAGGAAGGTCTGGTCGCTGAAGTTTATCCTGAAATTTTAACGGAAATAAAAGGTGATCGACCAAAGTTTTAACAAAAAATTTTTTGGAATTGACTGTCTTTTTATTTATTGGAAAATTTTACATCCAGCGAAATTTTAAAAATAGAAAAATTTTTGTAATAATTCGCCGCCAGGAGGAGAATAAGGACAATTTACATTTAACAGCGCATTCCTTGAGTAAATATAAGGATCCGAAACTCCCGAATGGAAGAAGGATGAAAACCTAAAGACGTCGAAAGATCACCAATTCCAATTTTTTACAACTTTTTTTACAAGTTTTAATGTTTAAATTGGATTGTTTCTGTATTTTAAGGCACTGTTTTATAGGCGACCGTGTAGCCTAAAAAGGAAGGTCCGGTCGCTGAAGTTTATCCTGAAATTTTAACGGAAATAAAAGGTGATCGACCAAAGTTTTAACAAAAAATTTTTTGGAATTGACTGTCTTTTTATTTATTGGAATTATCAATTGATCATTTGTTATATGCATCCAACTCTTCAAAGTGAAGCAGTAACCTTTTTTCAACACTTATATGTGTTACTTTCTATATGTCATCCTTGCTAATTATCTTATTATGTGGAATGGCTTAAATACACATTATACTTTTATCATAAATTTTCTGTGCTGAAATGGAGTGTCTGTTGGGTCGATTGTTTTTGCATGTCTGAAAACTTAATGACCGGGATCTGATCAAGGAATAATCAGGTTACACCTGCGTGTGGGCATGAGATTCAGGGATGTCTTTTGTTTGGGTTAGTTAGACGAGCAGGATATGGTCAAATCCAGTTTGGACTGTTATAACCATCCAACTTGAAATTCTTTGTTAAGAGATTAAACAGGAATTTCACAATTAGAGATCGTTACGCTCTAAGATCCTAACAGTGGCAAAGAGGATTAAAGATTAAGGATGTGGCGATGGACCCAAAATCAATGAAATCACTTGTAAAATCATTACTTGCAGAACAACAGGAGGCTGCACAGTGTGA